AGGCTAGAATCTTCCCGGTAAGCGCACCTTGGGGTGCTTACACACATCATTAGAAATGGGCTAGTCCAGGTGCGAGAACTAGCCTGTAAGGGTTAGAGTTCATGGGCCAAGCAGTTCTTAAATGAATACAGTTTGTGTGTTGTTATTTCGGGCATGAGCTAGCCAAGCGGCCGGGGTGTTGGGGATGCAGCCCTGCTGCTCCTATTTCAACATTGCCGTAATCATCATATCACTATTTTGGGTGTGCATGCACACGCACATGTTAGTGCATATCTGGAAGCCAGATAATGGTTCTCCTGACCCCAGCAGCACACTGACAGCAAGTGCTTTTACCCTGAATCACTTAAGTGTGGCCCTATGGATGGGACTGTAAAGAGGATCTTATGTATGGAGTCTGCCTCATGCTGGTTTAGATGACTCATCTTGGAAAACCAGATTATTTGGGGCTGATAAGGAGTACAATTTAACCACAGTGAAAACAGTAGAGTTTTAAGACTGCGCCAAAGAGTACTTTGGACCTCTCTCTCCTCCCCCACCCCCACCCCAAAGACAGGAGTAGGCAACACTGTTGGGCATATTTGCATTTACCAAGATCATTCCAATGGAACATCCTAAAGCTCCTCAAAGTACTTATGCAGGGTGCCTGACCCCCTCCCAGTGAAGAGTCCCCACAGCACGTGCAGAAGTTAAAAGGCCAGAGATCTGAATACTCATATTTTCTCAAGTTACAGACTTAATTGATTCCTATTCTCAGCGCTATAAACTCTAGGTTGGACCCTGTCCTCGTTAGCTCACCTCTCAGCTTGACTCAACAGCCTAGAGCCTTCTGTGAAGGAGGAACCCACTTGAGGGGATTGGCTACTCTAGACTGGCTTGTGGCCACATCTGTGAGATAGTCTTGATTGACTACTGACATAGAAGGACCTAGCACCGTCCCTAGGTAGGTAAGCTTGAACCAGATGCGGAGAGCAAGCCAGTAAGTAGGGTTCCTCCATGGGTTTTGCTCCAGGTCCTGCTCTGACTTCCCTCAATGATAGACAGTGTCCAGGAAGTCAAATAAACCCTTTCCTCCCCCAAACTGCTTTTGGTCAGACTGTGTTATCAACAGCAGAAAAGCAAGGTAGAACAAGACCTAAAGCCAGCATCTAGCAGCTGCTTGGCTCCGAACTTGGGTTGCAGCTTTAACTGACATGCCATTTGGTGCTGGTGGACCCTTGGGTTTGGCAAAGCTGAACAGAATGCACCCGGATGCCGACAGACACTGCCTGCCTACACCGCCACAAGCAGCCGTACTGTACCTTCCGCATCAGTTTGGCACGCGGCGTTTCTCCTTTCCACTCTCTTGCGCAATAGCTGAGTAGATCTACTTCTGCCTCCACACTGAGGTTTCCTGGGCAAAACAGAAAATACAAGGCAGCTGAAATTGCCCACTCTTCTCCTTTCCCTAGCCTCCTCTGCCCTCAAAAGGAAGAAAACGTATGCACGAAAGTCTTTACTTTTGAATTTTCTCTGCAGATAGCCAATCCACCTGAAAGATAAAGGAAGCAATCACATATAAGAACTCCCTGTAGGGCAAGGGTGTCTTTGAAAAGCCATGATGACAGGATGACCTACCACTTCAGCCGGTGCCCCAGATGTAAATGCAGCCTTCTGAAGTAGCAGAGGGAAGCTGACAGAAGCGACAGCACCATCGTCACAGAGGCCCTTGCAGCTCTCCAGGCAATGCTAACGACTTGGCTTGTAACCAGTATCCAGGAGTGAACTTGGTCACTTCCTACTAAAAAAACAGACATGCCTAACACAGTTACACATTTGCTTTAAGGGACACATGACGCATTGGACAATTTTGCCCCCAAGTGACTATCATTGATTTATACACATTTTTGTGTATGTATGTAGATGTGCATGTTTGTGTGTAAGCAGATGCATGAGTATATGAGGTACAGTTGTGTGTGTGAGTGTGTGGGCACGTGAGTGTGTGTACAATCACTAGCACCGTTCCTTAGGTGTCATCGACCTTCTTTGAGATGTGGTCTCTGACTGATCTTAAGCTCACCTACTAAGTGAGGCCAGCCAGCAAGCCCTATGGATCCACTGGTCTCTGCCTCCTTAATGCTGGGATTACAAGCACACAACATCACAACCAATTGAGAGGCAAAAACTACCAACTGAGATATTCCCTCAGGCCTACATACATGTTTGTTTAGCGCATTCAAACACTAAATCCAAAATTAAAGCATCAAGTAAATTCTCCCATAATCAGCGTCACATAAAACACCTTTTTGTACAAAATTAATAATCTGAAATGGACATAAGGAGCAGGAGCTTCAGAATCCCGAGTGCAAATCCTGTTTCCACCATGGAGTCTGTGTGCTTATGACACCCGACTACCCAGATCTGAGTCGTCTTGACTGTACCACGCAGGTGGCCCTGCGGGGAAGCGGTGAAATGACATTTTGAAGCACAGCACAAGGCGGGCACATGCTCGTTTCTCGCCAAGGATCTCTTGGATCCACTCCAGGCAGGCTCCGGTGACCCGATACCCATTGTTGTTTGGGAGCATCACAGGCCGCATCATCATTTGAGTCACACAGGAGTGAGCCAATCAGCAGAAGCACGGGTACCACTTTCCACATTCGCTGCTTCAGATGCCCACTGTGATGCCTGGTCCAACAAGGCAAAAAACTAAGGGGCAAGGGGCCGGCGGATGGGCTTGCAGTACTCCGTTGTGTCCAGAAGATTTCCGGTCACATTCTGCTTGAGTGTGTGACAAGCTGAAGTACAAATGAGGAAGAGGACTTTTGAACGGTGGCCAAAAACTCTGGGGTTTGTTTTGAAATAATTTCCTCCACAACATATCACTGAGTAAAATTCCATTGACCAACTGCAATAAAACCCTCATCGTCACGGAACCTATGATTCCATCATTTTTGGTCATCTGGATATTTCATGTGTATTTATATTCCCAATAAGGAAAGAATTTACTAACAAATCAGGAAAAATAACCAGGAGCAAATATTAAAATATATTTCCCATTACCTAAAAGAACAATTTAAAAATGCTTATCTGTCTAAAGAAGTTGTTTGGCTGGTCAAATCATTATTTTCGCTATTTCCTCGAAATTTAGCAAACTGTTGTTTAAAAACACAGAGCTGGGGATAGACAGATGGATGGCTCAGTGGTTAAGAGTACACTGCTCAGGCCGGGCGTGGTGGTGCACACCTTTAATCCCAGCACTGGGAGGCAAAGGCAGGCAGATCTCCGTGAGTTCAAGCCAACCTGGTCTACAGAGTGAGTTCCACGTCAGTCAAAGATACACAGAGAATCCCTGTCTCAAAAAAAATACAAAACAAAAAAGAGCATACTGCTCTTTCAGAGGACCCCAGTTCTGAGCACCCCGAAACTCTAGGTTCAGGGGACCCAACACTCTCTTCTGGGCACTACTGACAAGTGTACACACATGACACACATACACATCAATAAAAAAAAAACGGGGCTGTTGAGGTGGCTCAGTGGTTATGAGCAATTTCTGTGATTCCAAGGGTCCTGAGTTTGATTCTCTGCACTCACCTGGAGTAGCTCAGAACCACCTGTAACTTCAGCTTCAAGGAATCTGATGCCTTCCTCTGGCCTCTGTGCACACCTGCACACATGCCCTTTACTCACGCAGATACACATACATACACCCAAGTAAAATAATAAAATAAATCTTAACAACTTAAAGGTCCTAAAAAAGTCTTTTTAATAGAAAGCTATCCTATGTTTAACATTTATAATTTTAGATTGTTACCAATTTAGATGGCTTTCTCCACTGATAATTCTGACACACACAGTTACTTTTAGTAAATTCTTGAATTTACAGGATAGTATTATCTATGAATATATAACATGTGATGGCTGTAAAAATATTTTTTGAAAAAAACAGAACACCACATATGACTTGTATGTAGAGACCGACTCCTTCCTTCTTTCTGACAACATTAGGGGTTGAAGCCAGCGTCTAGAGCATGTTTCCCAACCCTGAGAACACTCTTTGTAATGAATGCCCAGGTCCTTGGCATCGCTGGTCCTGTGTGCTTTGCCTACCGACAAACATCTGGACAGCTCTGCACTCTTTACAAACAATGCCTTGGCAAGCAGTCAGCATTCATTACTCACATCCCCTAAGGAGTCCTGGCGGCTTGTCTTTAAGGATAATTCGAAGAACAAGAAATGCTGGGTCAAGGGATTTGCACACCATCAGTTCTGACAGGTACTGGCTTCCAAAAGAGGTCTGTGAGCACCCTCCCACCACCCTGAGAGGACCCAACGCTGTGAGGACTGCCGGATGGAGGGTGTGTTTCTGAACTAATCCAGAGAACGGAGTTTCTTCGGAATGCACAGGTCCGTCACGTTTCTTTCCCATGGCGGGACTTTGTACAGTATCTGACATCTCTCAGACTGCTACTCATGTGTGTATGTCAGGGGTCAGTGGAGGGCTCACAGCCACTGCAGTGAAGAACAGGTACTGCCCCGACACTGCTCACCTCTCATATGCTATCTGAGGGACCGCCCAGCCCCTTGGGGCATCTCTCCTCAGAATAAGGCCTTTCCTGTCAGCCCACTGAAGATAACTGTTCTTTCTGTGTTTGTTCATACCTTTTCTGTCTCAGTTTCTCTCTCCCTCCCCATCTCCTCCTCCTTACGTCTCTTCCCTCTCCTGTCTCTTTCTCTCCCTTGCCCCGCCCCAGCCTTCTGCCCATATCCTCAAAATGGACCCGACGAGAAGGCAGCTTTCTGAGCACCTTACCAGGAAACAACCTGGACCGCAGGCCTGCACTCCGGGTCTCTCTCGATTCTGTGCACCCACTGCTCAAATTGGAGGGCTTACCACGACAGTTCCACACAGCAACACACTGTGCTACTACAGTATCTATTTTCTCCTGTACCCCCTCTCTCCTTCCCCCCACCCTCCCCTAACAGTCCTCTCTTTCAGATTTTTTCTTTTTTTTTAAATTTTTACATATGAGAGAAAACACACGATACTTTTCTGTTTCTGGCTAATTTCACTTAGCGTGAAGATCTTAGGTTTCATCTATTTACCTGAAAGTAATACGAATCCATTCTTAACATTCCAATATATAAATTCATTAATCGGCTGACCCCATATCTTTCTTAGGTGCTCACATTTTTTTTTGTTAAGTAACTCAGACCAAGAAGCGTGACGGAGCATAATCACGGGGTTCTGGTGTGGGTAGGTGGGAGCCATCCAGAGGTGGGTAGGCTGGAACTCTGCAGGACGGACGGTATGTATGAGGCAGACATGGCTGTACAGCCGTGTAAGGATCCGCACAAGCTGCTCTCTGACCATGTTTTTAGGAGCAGCACTTCTAAGTCAAAAGAGTAGGAAGAATTGTATCTCATTACATCCAAGTGGCTGCGGTGTTATGTATGGATTGCCTTCTTCTTGCCTCTGAGCCCCACAGTGCCACAGAGGAGCCCCAATTCCCCACAGGAACCTCCCTCTACCTCCATCTCTAAGTCAGAAAGAAGAGAGAATTGAACGGGTCCTGGTACGCAGCCAATGTTTTGCACAGGTCTGTGCCTTTTACCATCCCAAGACAGAAGGCATAGACCTGCTGGAGGGCGTGAAGGAAACGTCAGAGAAGGGCTGGCCACAGTATCATTTACACTAAGCACATAACAAACACTACTGCTGTTTTCATTGTGGTTACTCTAACCACCTTTGCTTTGTAGATTAGCGAACTGTTAGGGACAAAAAGATTAAGCAGCCACCTCATGGGAGTTGCCCAATACATGGCAGAGCCAGGAATCAAAGGCAGCGGCCATGTAGTTCTAGTAGCTGCCTGCCTGAGCACTTGGCTGTCCTCCTATCTGTGACCGTAAAGCTGAACGCAGTTTCAAATCAGCACGGGTAGTAGGTACAATTACGGCTGTAGGGGAGAACAATGTACATCCTTTGCTCAGAGCTGGAGAGATGGCCCGGTGGGTAAGGAGCACTGGCTATGCAAGCCTGCGAACCGGAGTTTGAATTCCCAGAACCCACATAGGGATCAGGCACGGTCGCATGTGCCTGTAGCCCCAGCACTGACAAAGCCAGGCAGATACCGTAGCAGGTAATGCTAGCCCACCTAGCCAAAATTGTGAGCTTCAGATTCAGTGAGAGACCTTATCTCAAGAGAATAAAGCAATGATCGACAGAAGACACCTGACAGCCTGCTTTGACTTATGCACATCACACACACACACACACACACACACACACACTGACTTATGCACATCACACACACACGCACAGACCCACACACACTCACACATGCACAGGCACACACACACACCTTTCTCTTGTTTTAGGGTCAATAAATATGTTAAACTAAAAAAAAAAGACAGGAATCAAACAGCCTAACAAGACTGTCAATCAGTATGAGGACAAGTCTGATGAACTCCTACTGAGTCAAACAGCATCTCTCCAAATACAGCAGAGAGGGTAACACTTCAGACGTAAGTTTCAGAGGGCCCCTCTTCCCACCAAAGACAACTCTGCAATCACCACCAACTTCCACCCCTGCCTCAGAGAGGGGTCCTGCTGGGTCGTGAGTGGGATGCAGGAAAGCAAAGGAGAGAGCTCTTTACCTCCACAGACACAGTCATCCCACACCCCACGAGAACAAAGGGAGGGTAGGCAGGGATTGTTCAGCAAAGACAGCTCTGGGAAGTGCGGGACGTGAGAGGAGGCTGGGAAGAAAGACCTTGCCAGGAATTAGGGATCTGACTCTC